AGAAAAATATATATACTCTTCGTGATTCTTTGATATATACGATCAACTTTACATTTTATATAAAAGAAAACATTAACTAGAACCATTTTGTTAGGCTAGAAGAAAAAGTATATGTATTTAAAAATTAAAGAAATGTGTTTAAACTTATAAAACACCGTTGTAAAACAAACAATTTTTTTTTTCGAATATCACTGTTAAACTTATTGATAACCGAGATGATTTATACATGTTCTTTTTTTTTAAACAACTTATTATATGATACATGTTTTTTTTATTGTGTTAATGTTTTAGAGTTCCTATCAAATATCGTTTGAAAAATGTAAAGATATTGGCTTTTGTGAGTTGAAACCATTACATAACAAACTAACAATAATATGCTACTTTACATGTCTATTTATTACGTCTAGAAACGTTAGATGAACCTTTCGATATATTGGTAAACCGAATGTTTTATTTATACGAGTCTAAACAAGCCACCATACAAAACAGGCCACAAAGAGGAGATTACACTTTATTTGCTCAACAAATTATACAAACAACAAAACACAATTTACTTATACATATCCCATGCAAACCAATAATGTGTTTAGAACGTCTTTGGGTTTGGTTACCTTTTAATTTGGAACTATAATCAAGCAACTTTAACAAAAGGGTAAATCTCATACCTAAAGTTACAGCTCGCACCTACAACTCTCCCTCCTTCTTTACCGTCACAGCAGTTAGGAATCTCTCCAATAATCCCATCCAAACACGCCTTACAACTCTCACTCCTCAAGTCTCTCGTACACTGCACTAGTCCGTACAACTTCTGCTTCCCGAGATTCTTCTCCCCTGTCGCAAACAGCTTCTGGTTGTTTCCAGCAGTTGCTTTCTTCGTCAGCTCGGTTAAAAGAGTTTTCGTCTGCATGTTAAATGATGAAGGGTCGCTCACGTTGTTAACGTTGTACAAATAGACTCTGTTCTCGAAATCGATCTTCCCGAAGAAATTGGTCGAGGAATACTTGACAAGACAGTTGTCGTACCATATTATACCCGCCTTGTTGTTCGGACATCTCCGACTTATCTGTCATAAATAACACCAACATCAAGAGCAATCCAAAAATTCAATAGTTTAGTATACTTTTACCGTTCCAATATTGAAGATTTGTTTGTTATATATAGTATTTATTAGCTTTTCTCAAGTAGAATTTTACCAATATCTCTCTAATCTCTTAATATAATAATAACAATCCATAAAAAGATTTCGGAGAGTTATGACTCTTTTTTTCTTTATCATACTTTTTGTTCCGCACAATTTGATTAATGAGAAATTTAAAATTGCTTCTTGACTTTACAAAAATACCACACTTTTGAAATCTTTACAAAAATGCCACTTTTTTCAAAAA